TCTAATCAATTTTAGTATCAAATCTCGCTATCTCATGGAATTACTAGCCTTAGGCAACGACACGGTCTATTACCCGAATTTTTCCTTATTTTTAATTTAACCGCGAGACGTTCTACGATTAAACTTGACTTCTTGTACAGTCCTGAAAAACGTTTTCAAGATTTAATACAGTCAGTGGCTTTACGAATTAGAAAAATATGCTAGACTAAGTAGTGAACTCAACCGCGTTCGTTCATTTAAATAGGCAGTTTCGGTAGCCTCTAATGAACTAAACACAACAACAATTACGGATTGAAGGTCTAATTCAGCTGTAGAAATGAAAAGTCTAATCTAGGTGATCAATCTAAATAAGAATAAGACTCAACACATTATGGTTAATTATTCAAAATAACACAAGCAATTACAAAAAAATATTGAAATCATCAATCATAAAAATTAATCAAACATCGTCAATCATAGGGTTCGATTTCCCTATAACTAAAAATAAAAATCTACTCTAACATAATAAATAATAAAAAAAAAAAAAGAATAAGATTATTCCCTTTCGTGTATGGATGCGGTCTCCCTCCGCTCGGCTTCCTCGCGTCTGCTTTCTCTTTTCGTAGCTGCGTATTTTTCTTCTCTCCGCAAATAAATCCTCCTCTGCTCCTGTTTTCGTATCTCCCAGGAAAAAAAAATGACCCGTGTATGTGTATGGCGGCTGCCTATTTAATTCCCTCACCAATGAATAACAAAATTGCCGCATGTGACATTAATTGGATTTCCATGCACTTAGGCCCAATTAACTTTTCCTTAACATCCTTCCGGTGAATTTTTTTAAATACCACAAGAATATAAATATATTGCAAACATACGATATGTCATATGTTATTAGCAGGCATACCAAATTGAATTGACTTTATTTGATTTAAATTAAAAACTTACGTTATCAAAGTAATTGTCCTTTCTAAAATCACGCATCTATGAGATTTCAATTAAAAAAAAGGTGAGAGAATATAACCGACTTAATAAGAATCTGTTCTTATCAAAATAAAAAGAATTATATTTTGAAACTCGAATGTCTTCTCTCTTTCTCTCTCTCTCAATATAAAGAAAATAAACGATAAGAAATATACATCATATACATAGTACTAAAAATACAGAATATACATCATTACCATTGATGATATAAACACCCATCGAAAATATACGCAATATACACGATCAGAAAATCACTAATCTTGGAGAATCTCGAGTGTATATCTTATATATATATATTTTATATATATGTGGGTTCTGAAATCGATATTTAGAAACAATTGAAACTCGAGTGTATAAGTAAAGTATATTTTATGTATATGTGTGTCCTGATCTGTTGCACCGGATAAAACAAGAACAAAAACGAATTATATACAAAAGATATACCGAATATATAGTATTGTACAGTGTGCAAAAGATATACTAAAAATAATATGTATTGTACGGTGTGCAAATTATTAGATTCAATTCACTTTTATACATACAATATACTTAACATATAAGAAGTAAATTTGTTTTTATTTGATTTAGACATGTGCTGAATTACACCAGACAGAATATCACATAACAGTTAATGAGGTAATACAGTTGTTCCAGTCAAGAACATATACAGAATATATTCATTCCATTCATATATAAGTTGCTTTTGTTCCAGTCAAGATAGTTGCTCACATATTCCTTACATATACATAACATATATAACCTACTTTTGTTCAACAGAACCTACGCATTCTTACAAAAAGTTAATATTGAGATAACAACATATTACTCCACTAAATCAAACGAAAAAAATTCTCAAAAAACTAGAGTTGTCCCAAGGCCTCTACGCAATTGTAATCTTTGATCCGCCGTTGTTACCCGCCATATATAGCTAGTAAAGACTGTATTTTGGTTGTCGGGAAGCATCAAAGACTCGTATTCGACCTCAGCCTGTGACGAAGCGGCGGCGGCTCTCTTTCTGGTGGCCGAAATTTTTTGCCGCTAGCGCGGTGGCGCTAGTAAAAACTTTGTAGCCGAAACTTTATAGTCTGTACAAACATGGGAATCCTCCAAATCCAGTATGATATTTTGCAACTATGGAAAAATCTTCATAAGAAATGGAACTCAATCAGTAAAAATAATGCTAAACCAAATCTGGAACCCTCCAAATCAAAGGATAAAAACTGGAAAAGAAAATAGTTATGCTCATAGAATTGTTTTCTATTACTCATCAATCAACAATAAAAAAAAAAAGAAAGATTTTATCGAACAGATGAAACGAAACCCTCTGAAATTCAAAAAAATTGTGAAGCAAAAAGCCCAACGCCGTTCGTGCACCTGGGCGAAAGTGGCAGACTTTATATTACGCCGTGTTCGCTTCTTTTGCGGGTGTTGTTCATCGACCTCGTTTGAGATATTTGCACCGATAATTTATTCTCCGCTTCTATAACGCAATTTCTTCGAGCCATTATGATTGGATTTAAATTGAAATTGAAGATTCCTCTCGACAAGTTTGTGTTCTACCTTAGGTTTAATGTTGCGGATCCGCAAACTTGATCTCGTCTATGACTGCTTCTGACGATGACGGGATGGTCAGTTTTTGCCAGAGAGAGAAGATAATTGAACGATGAAGGAGAGAGAGTTTGGAGAGAGATAACCGAAAAAAGAGGTAAGAATTTGTGAAGGATATCCCACGTTTAATAAAAATGACAGTTACCAAACAATTAAATATTGAAAAATCACGTATATAAGCACATATTTTGTGCATATTCTCCAAATCTGCTAATAAAAATAAATCATGATAGATATGCAAATACTTTTGAATTAGTCCGGCCCTGGCATAATTTTCTCCATCCTTAAAGCATAATTAGCTTTTGGGCTTTTTTAATTACTCTTCATATTTGAAATGTAACATGGGCCGGTTTGTTGAATTCTCGTTCAAAGCCACATCGTCTATGAAAATACTCCAATATTCTAAAAATAAACCATAAAAATATCAAAGAAAATTAATTCATCTGAATAATATATAAATCGAAAAATATAAACGTGCGAATAAATTAAGTGTATAAAAATACACCATTAAATATATAAAACGTGCACATTTTTCGACCTATCACCTAATTATATTCTTCTTGTATAATTCTTTGGCTGTGACATATTTATAATTAATTTCGATAACTTTTTTTTTTCTGGGAGTTTTGTAAGAAACTTGAGAATTTCATGTTGTGTTGACTGATGGACGAGATGCAGTATATGACGCATATATATAAGTCGATTCAAATTAAGCTGGTGAAATTGTAAAGAATTTAATTATTGATGGACTATAGACCTAGCTTTTTCTCTTTAATAATATGCTAATGTTGACATATAAATAGTGTCATTCTGCATTTATAAATAATTTCTATAAACGAATTTATGTATCGAATATCATAAATTAAATTTACATAAATTCATGTGTGAGAGAACCTATTAGATGAATTGATATGTCATTTTATATAAACAAAAACGATTGATTATACAATCACATGGCATACATATATATATGTTGAATGGTTACTTGTACAATTAAATGTCATATTCTACTTCATTTGGCATCACATATGCTTCGCTTCAATAGAATGTTCTTCTAATACTCATGCCTTGTTGGATCATAATAAAATAAAAGTCATTTTGGCCTTTCTAATTAAATTCATCAATTTAAATCATTTATAAATTAAATCCATCTTTATAACTCTTTGGAGAATCATTATATAAAGTCAAAACATATGTAACATGGTCAATTTTCATATATAACTTTATAGTTTTTTATTATTGCTGAGTTTTTTTAAGAAACTTGAGAAATTTCTTGGGGTGACGACCATTTGATGTACGTTTACGATACGAATATATAATTTAGTTCAAAGCTGGATTAATTTTGAAGAATTGAAAAATTAATAGATAATAGACCTAGTTTCTCTTTAATTATATGCTAACGTTGACACATAGACTCTGCCATTATGCATTTATAAATAATTTGTAATAATATATATCTGTATCGAACCATAACTTAAATTAAAAATAAAAATGATAAAAAAAAAATTACTTGTACAATTATTTTATACAACATTTTATGACAACATGATGTGGCATGATGTAGATAGTTGAGACGCAAATAAATGTATAGTTAAGATTAATTCAATAATTGTAATAATTAACTAATGTTGTCAACTATAATTATACATGTAGCATTGCCCAAAAAAAAATATGTAAGACATCTTAACAGTTTTGTGATCGGCCCATCATACTACGAAAACAAAATGTATACTTATACAATTAAATGTCGAGAAAATTGCAATTTTAGTCCAGTAACTTAGGCTGTTTCCCACTTTAGTCCAGTAACTTGGACCGATCCAAAATTGGTCCAAAAACTTCTAAAATGTAATTAAATTAGTCCAATTTCGGTCCCCGTCGCCGGAATCCGATCGGAATATGCTGAGTTGGCAATTCGGATTCCGGCGACGGGGACCGGAATTGGACTAATATAACTACATTTTGGAAGTTTTTGGACCAATTTTGGATCGGCCCAAGTTACTGGACTAAAGTGGGAAACAGCCTAAGTTACTGGACTAAAATTACAATTTTCTCATTAAATGTCATATATATTCATATTTGTTACTTTTTTTAGAGTATATATCGACTTAATGGTTGGGTTGACCTAACAAAAGGCCTATCGATTACAGTAAAAACTAAATACGACTACGATTATGAATTCGAATATTCTTGCGAATCATAATCAAATAGTTCATTATGTACTTCAATACGACTCGTTTACAACACTAACAAAATTTAAAAAAGAATAAAAAAACCATCCATTTTTTATCAAAAGGAAAAAAATGCATAATCTGNTTATATATAAAAATAAAAAAAATAAAAAAATCTATGATTCATGATATAATATTATGCACAACAGCACAATTGAATGGCTAAAAGTTCTAATGAATCCACAATTAATTAATCAAATAACATCAATAGACCCCGATAGAACCGAAGTTGCCAAACCTATCCGACGCCGTCCTTCTCACCAGAGACCTAATCTCTGGCGACAGGCCGTCGAACTCCGGACCTTCATGTATGGTCGAAAGCGCACCTGATCGGCCGTAGTCAGTGTAAAATCCTTCTCCGGCGCGATTCTGCCGGCAATCGTCCCTATTGCTTCTCTGTCCAAAGACCGATCTGATGAGCCTGTGCAAGGATCGTGATATCTTGGACGGAGTTTTTCTGTTCGTCAGATTCGCCGGCGGGGGCGGAGGAAGGAGGCGGCGGTCGGACAAGTGAGGCATCGACATAGTTCTGGAAGCTATGGCGGCGTCGAGCTGCTTCTCGAGCGATTTCAGCTCGAACGAGTCGTAGAGCGAGCTGCCGCAGTCCCATAATGCTGCCCGCTTGGGATTTTCTGGTGAGGAGTGTTGGTCACCGATGGTTTTCGCCATTGATTTTTGTATTTGTTGTTTTTCTTTTTTCTTTTTTGGTTGTGTTGTTATTTGAGCATAAATAGATATGTGGGCGCGTGGGTTTGGCGAGGGAAAGTGTGACGCTTTTTTCCGTTTACACGTCTGTTAGGTATAGTCCACACACACGAGCCTTCACGCGGGTGACGTGAGGATATATTTAATTGTTTTTATATATACTAGTACGAAGCCCGTGCGATGCATGGGACAGAGATATTAAATGAGTCATTTTTGTTTGTTCATTAAATAGCTCGTGACAGAGATATTAAATGAGTCATTTTCATAGGCTTGATCGTTAAGCCCTAAAAAATAATAGAGTTGAATAATCTATTTTCCACCTCTTTTCATCCAGAAATTCTATGGCGCCCATATAGGTACCATATGGTACCATAATCTTCACGATCTAACGCCTAATATTCATTGTGAAATTGATAGAATGGATATTAGGCGTTGGATCGTGAGATTATGGCACCATATGGAAATTATTGAATAAAATTTTAAAGGAAATAATCTTTTTGATCATGTCTGATTTGAAATTGTATATATGGAAGCAATTAATGCATATATTTTAAAAGTTTCCAAATAAGGTATGCATTTAATGCTCCAATTTTTTTTTGCTATTATTTTTAGTAAATAGTTATTCTTATTATATATATATATATATATAGATTTGGAAAGTAAGATTAAAAAAAATTAATTATTTTATATTTTGATTATTAAATAAGCCGTAATTTATTTTTATTAAAAATTATAGCCGCCATTTAAAACAATTTTATTAGTCGATTTGATGTTAAAAAAGTTACGGATTTTTTTTTAAATAAAAAATTATATTTTTAATATTAAATCAACCATAATTTCTTTTTATCCAAAAAAAAAATAGATGAGTGGTACATGATTTTATGTTACAAAAAGGTTTTTTGATTTTGTGAAAATTGTGCAACTACAATTAACAACCTCTCCACTTCTTAAGGCCAACATTTATCTCTCATTCGTTTTTTCATTAAAAAAAAAAGAAGTTGCTATTAATAGCATGTAATAAATGCTGACCAAGTTTGACCAAAGTTTGACCTGCCATTTTTTATAAATGGTAATTCTTATTATATATATATAGATGAGGGTAATAATGAAAAAATATGTACAAAAGATCCAAAACGATATTTGTTTTGATCAATAGTTGATAAAGTCAAAACGACATTTAAAAAGAATAGGAGGTAGTATAAGTTTGAAAAATATTATAATATAAGATGATTAAGTAGTATATGTGATAGTCTCATTTTAAATACAAAAGATGNTTTAAAAAAAAATGCCATATATAGATTTATTTTATTTTATTATTATTATTATTTTTTTTTTGTGTGAGTTTTATTTTGTTTGAGAATTTGCAATCAACAGTAATTGTATTGTTAGACGTGCTAATTTGGCCGGCTGATTTTTCAATTTTTATGCTATCAAATTTTATATTTTTTTTTTATGTTGTTTTTTAGAGAATAACATGGTTTTTTAGAGAATAACATGTTAGTTTGAAATTATGTGAATTTAATAACAAAAGAAATATGATTGTCTAGTTAGTGTCTATCAATAACCTTTAGTCAAATATATGATTATGTGTCCAAGAGTTGATGAATTCATTCTTTGTTCAATACGAAAATCGCTTTATTTCAAGCAAGTACCATGTGGCAAGACTGTAATTATATATTCTGAGAATATACATATTATTTAAAAATTGGCCCTCACAACATAGGGTGGATTATTATCAATATACCATTTCTGTAATTTTGACCCGAAAAATATAAAATAACTGGCTTGATTTGCCATAATTTATGTCACACCTGATTTAAGCATCTATAATAAGTATGTAACCAAATAAAATATTTGATATGATGAACTGTAACTTCTAGCCTGTATTAAAAAATTGAAACACAATAAATGAGTTCAGGTCAAGTAGATGATAAGAGATGAGTCACTACAAAAGCTCCCTGTGTATTCATGCGGATCATACACGGCTTTGAATTTTCTGCAATTAAGAGGTTCACAATGACATTTGTTAATATATATTGAAAAAAAAAATTAAGAAAAAAATAATATTGTTAGATAAAGGTTTCAGTTTAGCACGTCAATCTTTTTCAGATTCTAGATAGCATTGCATGGTTTATGGCTTGGACTTTCCTTAATGTGAAAATAATAAGATAATTTATGATTTTTTTTATTTTAATCTTATTCTTTTATTTTAATTACAAAAATGGACTACACTGTAAGATGTATAAATGTGAACCAGACTTTTATTTTATTTAGCATTTATTCAATACTTTTAAAATTCAGGTATATTCAATTAAAATTTTTTGAGACTTTTAAAAAGATTGCATGTATTCAATTTAGACTTTTTATAAATCTCTAATAGTCTCAGTGTATTCAATTAAAACTTTCTAAGAGTCTCAATAAGTCACCCGATATTTAAAGGGAGAAAGACTTTATAAGACTTAATTATTAAATTGGAAGACTTATGGAGACTTTTTTTATAAAATCACAAAGACAAAAGTCTCAATATAAATCTCACCAAATTGGTGAGATTTTACCTATATATGGAAGTCTCGGAATGTTCACCAAAGTCATTAAAAATTTCACAAAATTCACCAAAATAATTTAATTTAAAAAGTCTTAAAAAATTCTTAAAAGCCTCAATTGAATACATTAGTATTTTTCTTACAAATTAGGAACAAAGGTGAGTAAACAACGAAGATCGAAGATTAGAAAAGGGAATATCAGTAGAATTAATTAGTGAGAAAAGTATAGATCAACATGTAATTCGGAATTCAGACACCTGAAATGTCAACAAAAAAAAAACACTGTAGCATGAACGATGTTTGTAAACAATCTATTTAAAGGCTCAAGTGCTTCATTGTAAAGTACAATTGATTCGCCTCAAGTATAGGCAATATAAAGAGTAAAGACTATTTAAAATGTTCAAGAGATTCATTGTAAAGAACTTTTGATCCTCCACAAGTATAAGCAATATAAAGACTACTATGGAGCATTTTACTAAGCTAAATTAAGATTTTAACCGACCCTAATTACAAAAAGCTAATTAATCTTGTGATTTTTTTAAATCCATTTTTTCTCACCACTTAAATTTATTGTTGCAAATCACATCACGACACAATTTAACCGAACGCTCTACATTGCAGTTTTATTTCAGGGCAGCATGAAAAACTTGTTTCAATATAATGTAGCGCTTTATTTTTCCACATTTGAACGGTATCGCGCTACATGTAGTGCGGATACTATTCACCGCGCTACAATTATTTTTCTTCAAATTCTAAATTTTTAATTGATTTTTATTTCTAAATATTATTTGACAACACACATCAATAAGATTATTTATTTTGTTAAATAATTTCAAATTTTAATTTTATACATGTATTTAAATTTTATTATATACTAATATATTTCATGTATAATAAAATATAACACAAAATATACGAGTTAAATTTTAGCATTCTCTACATTAGAATAGATTAAACTTTAAAGTAGAATAGAGGATTGAAGATACTCTTAATAATAAGAATGAATATGAAATTTCTATTTTCCGCAACTCTAACATGGCAACTCACATAATATTGAATTTGAGTGTATAAATAAGAATAACGCATTCAACGTGTAAACAAACGCCCGACAAGATCTTGGATATCCCATTTAGAAAGAACTGTATCTGTCATTTACTATCCATGAGGATCATGACACATTAAAACAATAACGAGACGGGTGTACCTTTCTTAAAGTACCATCATTCTAAGCGTACACAAGTTACATATCTCCTCTTAAACTATTCATCAAGTAATAATATATGTAAGAGAAAATGTTCATATTAATAATGACCAGAATTTTGAGAAANACAAAACAAAATTATTTTCATCTAAAGACGTAACTTAATGACGGAACTTTTCTAAATACAAGTACAATTACAAATCCAAACTTGTAAAACAGTGGCATTTGCCATGCAATTGCACCCAATACATAAATACGTACATACACACATACAAACAGCTATACATATGCGTCATTGCGTCAACAAACTGTCATTCAACAAACTGTCATTCAACAACTGTCATTCAACAACGTTGCTGCTAAACAGTTTGAACTCCTTCGCATCAAGAACCAACTTTCTCGTGGACGAAAATGCCCCCATGAGCCCGACGAATGTGAAAACGACTATAATTGTGTTGTTAACCCAGTAAGCTAAGGACATTTTGGTCGGTTTATAAGTCATGTTGTACAGAAGCATTGGCAGCACAAAATCGAGAGGAATAAAACCGAAGGCACCCACAACAGCGTTAATGTCTCCAAAAAAAGGAAGCATAGCAGCAACGAACCCACAGAATGTTACGTAGAGAGAGCGAAAAATAATTCTCGGGATCAAGTTTCTTTTGGAAAAAATTCCCTGATTCACATCGGCCGATTTCTTTTCTATGATCTCGTAAGCTACTTGAGAATACACCTGAAAAATTCAGTGGAAAAAAGAATCAATAATGCAATTAGCAATAATTTAGAAAATATGATGAAACTTAGGCAAAAATGCATTTTTAGTCATTTTGGTTTAACGTCATAGCAATTCTAGCCCCAAGATTCCAACTTTTCGTCTTTTGTTCTGTGATTTAACATTTTACTACAATTTAAGTAATTTGATATTGAAATTGCAACAAAATTTTAAATTACAAAACTGAAATTGCAACAAAATATTAAATTACAAGATTTAAATTGCTAATCGAAAAATCTAAGAATTTGAGAATTTGTTGCAATTTCTATCCTTTGAAGGCTAAAATTGCAGCAAAATATTAAATTACAGGACCAAAAAGCGAAATGTTGAAACCTTGGGACTAAAATTACTATTAAAAATGCAATTTTACCGAGTAAGACATTGGAGGATAATAACAGAATATGATCTCACCAAGCCAATGGCGAAAAGTTGAAGGAGGACGAAAATGATGGCGAGACCCAAAACCCATACAGGAGCCAGAGAAGGTCCCTCGTCTGGCATGAAGCTCTTGAGAATGTTGGAATTAGATTTATTCCCAAACACCCAATACCCGGAAACTGCAGAAGAATAGAAGGTCACGAAAATTACACCGTAGCACATAATTAGGCCTTTCACCATTTTCCCTGTGGCCGGAGGAGCCAGCGTTGCCTGTACACATAAGGTCATTATGGATTGGTTACATAAAAAGAAACGTTTAAAATACGTTTGGGAGATGAGATTTACCTGTATTTCAGGCAGGATACCATTGCCGAAAATGGCAGCTAAAATGGATATGGAATTGAATGCGTTAAAAAGCCTCGATGAGTTTGATGCTTCTAAAGAGTAGTCCCTTGGAGGCGCATTTCTTGAGATACCTTGAGTGAAAACAATAAAATTGTAAGATTGAAAACAACAAAATTGTAAGATTGAAAACACTAAGATAATGATAGATACACATGATTTTCTCTAATTCCCATTTAAAGATGGAGACAACTTTTTACCTGCATTGATACAAGCGCCCACCACAAGAAAAGTGTAGCCCAAGCTTAAAAAAAGCGAGCCAAAGTTTATATGCCTTAGGGAATGAAAGGTTGGGAACTGAGATAGAAGCATCATAACTACTGCCACCATCATTATGAAGTGGTACAGTTTCAAGGGCCCTTCTGGATTAATTTCCGAGTACATGATCTAACAACTCAAAGAGAGATAGAGAGAGAGAGAGAGAGAGATTAGAATGTTAACTTTCATGATTTGACATCATTTGAGCAAGTAATTAATTGAGGATAAGGTTCATTACAAAGACAAAATCCGAGGCCTACACATGTTACATATAAACACCCAGTTATATTCCTACATTACAAAAATCCCTTAAATATTTGCCTCTTTTACATGTTAGGTAAATGCAGATGTAAATATGAACAGAGTGTCTGCAATGCACTTATCCTTCAAGAAGGGCTTTTTCGTAAATTGAAAAAATCAACTGGAATTTTTGTATAAACCTCAGAGGTCACTTTTGTTCCTGTAATTATTCTTGAAGGGCAAACTACAATTACCTTCAAGAGAAATAATTACGTACAATGCTGTACCTGGAGGCATTGCCCTGCAAGCAAAATAGCTCCTACGCTGATGCCAGTGTTTATTGCTGTCTGAATAAATATCACCAGATAAAACATCCACCCAGATCCTATTAGAAATAATGTACAAAATAAGAATTGCATAAGTATATTATCTGACTTAGAAAAGCAAGCTCTACAGTCAAACATCTACCGCACTATGGTCAATAGCTGGCATCTAGCTCTTAATTTCAATCTGGATCATGATTTTTGATAGTGGTAATTCATAATCTCATCAATTAGAGGCACAAAAGACTTTGATTATGGAGTATTACATTTAAATGTTCCGTTAAAGTGACATTCATTTTTTTAGGGGATTACGAAACCGAACCTTAATCTAACTAACCATGGATGGTTGCACGATAGCATGATATGACTGAAAAACAATAATTAATAGAGAATGATGCAATAAGGCGCGGCAAGACAAGAAATACAAATAAGAAACACGAAATCATAAATTTAGTAAAAATATACATATTTTTATATCACAGCCATAAAACACGACAGAGAAATACAAACACAACAATCACACGCAGAACAATAATGATTTCACTTTTGGGATATTCAATATTCGTAAGAGCATCCGCACTGGTCTCCATTCATTTAATTACCAACAACACTCTCTTTCTTACACATCATCTCCATATCACCATTTTTCCAAACATAATTCATCAAACATACCTTCCATTTGTTTAAATGTTCACAACTCTTACGGGCAGGTCCCTCCCATTACTTCAGTATTTTGTTACCTTCTGAGGTCTTATTTGCGTGATTAAATGCCATTCATAACATTTGAATGAACGGTCGCTTTCAGTTGTTTAAATGGACAGTAGCATCGGTATTAATGATGAATTGGCATTTAACTGCACTCAATTAAACGCTAATGCAAATGCTCTAATAGAATAATCAGGCTCAAGCACAATTATACAGCTACAATGCCGATGCCAGTGTTTATTGCTGTCTGGATAAATATCACCAGGTCAGAAATAATGTACAAAATAATCAAGCTCAATGCACAATTATCCACCCAGATCCTTTTAGATATAATGTACAAAATAAGAACTTCATAAGCATGTTATCTGATTTTGAAAAGCAACTTCTACAGACAAAAAGCCATCACACTATGGTCAATAGCTGGCATCTAGCTCTTAATTTCCATCTGTTTCATGATTTTGGACAGTGGTATTTATAATTTCATCAGTTAGTGGCACAAAAAGACTTTTGACTATGGAGTAAACTTGCCGTTAAAGTAACATTCATTTTTTTAAGAATAATGAAACCGAACCTTAATCCAGCTAACCATGGATAACAAGACACGATAGCATGATACGACCACAAACACTAGTTAATAGAAAAATGACACGATAATGGCATGACAGGACAAGAAATACAATTAAGAAGCACGAACCTATAAGTTTAGCAAAAATAAACATATTGTTACATCAAAGCTTTAAAACACGAGAAAAAAATACAAACACAACAACTTCGTGCATAACAATACTAAATTCACTTTCGGGAAATAATTTATCCGTTCTAAATTCATTATACTATAATCAGGCTCAAGGCACGATTACACAGCATCTCTATTTTAAAGTTGTGTTCCACCATATATTTTATACCAACAATCCATAAAATCCCTTTCTTATAAGCAAAAGTCAACACTATTGTTGGCTCCACATGTATTGATTACTAATTACTAGCAAGGCATCTCACCAAGGTAAAAGAATTAAAATGGCAGCTCATTAATGTCAATGTCATGTGTGAACACCATTGCAACTAGCCTGTATTCCCCATTTATTTACAAAATCTTTTCTTTTTACTTCTCATCACATTATCTCAAATAGCACATAAATAAATGAGAATAAGATAAAACATAGAAAAGGAATAAAGAAAAAAGTAGATACCCAGGACATCGGCGGCGAGCTCCCGGAATCGTATGTGGCGGCGACCACCTTTCTCACAGTGGTCCAGCACCAACGACATGAGATAGTACGAGTAGAAAGTCACCGCGCCCATTGCCGTCAGGCAGATGAATCCCAGCACCCAGCCCAGACCCCGGAAAGCGTACGGCAGCGTGAGTATCGTGGGCCCCACAATCGCCGTCGTCAGGTGGAATCCGGCGTGCCACCACTCCCCTGTCGTACCCACACCCGCCCATCACCATCAATTAAAAAAAACAACAAAAATCACAGGCCAAACAATTATCTGTAACTAATCGATTCTGAAGAATAAGAGAAATCAATTGATGGAGCAGGGTATCAAATACGTGACATGTCAGGAACGATTCGACCCGAGAGACGTAAAATTGTTTGAATTCAATCGATTCATACCCTTCGATTGCAGGACAAAAGATGCTCCGGCGTCGTTTTCGCGGCGGATTTCTCCTAACGGGCCGTCGCCTTGTGGAGCTCCTCCCATATTTCTGCACAAATCGCTTTAAGTGGGAGCGCGGGAAAAAATTGAAGGGCGGCAGCGAGGAAGCCTGCCGGTGGCCGTGGGAATGGATTGGAGGAGGTATTGCGACGATATGTCTGCTTTAATGGCGGCAATGTATAATGCAGCAAGTTTTGACCATTTGTGACATGCGAGGGGAAAAGGACAAGCCAAAATTATAAGTGCAGACGACGAATTTGTCAATTATGCCCGAAAGGATAATTTCCGATTGTTTTGGGCATAAATTACGAAGTTGCTAACTGTCACAAATGTGTGTAACGTAATAACGTTTTCACTAAATAAATAGTAACAAACTATTGTGTGGAATGTGATCAAATACAAATTATCTTACTTTTGACCAAATAATTTTTTACCTTAAAAATTTAATTCAATTTCTCAAATATAAATATAATTAAATAGTATTAGTCAAGTATTCTCGCACATCACACCAACATTAATTCATTATCCATCTAATCACATAATTTTAACAACACATGTACATATCTCATACTTTTACTCAAATTAAGTTTAATCATTATATTTTAAATATCACTTTAATATAAACTCAAAATATCACTTAACTTAATTCAACCAACTTTTTCAAAATTAACTTTAGTTATTCAACAAATCCAATCAAAATAAAAAATAAAAACAACTTATATTCAATCAGCCGAAACAATTAAACAAATATGATTCAATTAGTACAATAATCAGTTGTGCTAAGTAAACAAACTATATTGAACTTTTTTAAAATTATTACTATATACCGTGATTGAACGGTGCTGGTTATATACTAAATAAATATATAAGAGAAGTTTTTCTATATAAATATTAAATACTTTATAAAAATTGTATTATTATTATTATATTTTAAATGAGACTTTTCACTTGAAGAATTTACTTATTTTATATTATAATAATTTTTAGTTCTTATAGAATGAATTTCAAGATAAATTTTTTAATTGACATATAATGTTATTAAGTTTAATTAGTATTAATAAATTATTTAATTTTTAAAAAATTTAATTAATAAACTAAAACTTCTTTAAAAAATTGCCCAATCAGATCAAGCTTATTTGAATACAAAGATATTATAATCTAACTAAATAAGTTATGAGTTATCTTATGGTGCTTATCATCCCACTATATATCTCCGAAAAATATACTTTTTACACTTAATCCATCAAATTATAATTTTTTTTCACTTTATCTGTCAAATTATATTCCCGACACTAGAAAGGTAGAAACTTTAGAGAAAATCGCACTTAACCCACCAAACTATGCAACTATTTACATTTTGCCTACCAATTTATACTTTTTACTACATTTTGGTCATGGAGATCAAATATGGTCACAAACAAACTTTTTACAACATTCAGGGTTTGGATATGAATTTAATTAGTTTTTTTTAATCATAGTTAATTTTTAAAAATGTAGTATGATTAGTTGTTAGTGAATATATTAAAATAATATTAAAAATAAAATAAATAAAGTTGATTTGATGTAAAAGTAGGAGAAAATGAATGAAAATGATGGTTTGGTAAAATTATGTGAATGGATGAATAGTGAATTAAAATTGATATAATGTGTAAGAATTATTTGTTAATATTATTTAATTATATTGATAATATAGATGATAGTGGAGTTGAGTTAAATTTAAGTTTGGATTGATTTTTTTAATGTAGAGTTTATAAATATCCAATCACACTCTAAACTGAAAAGAGAATTATTAGTTTATGCATTTTATTAACTTGTTAAGTTTCTATGGTGTAAATTTTACAACAATCACATAGCTACACAGACCGTACGATCAATCAACAACTTCATTGCTAAAGAGCTTGAACTCCTTAGCATCAAGAACCAACTTCCTCGTCGAAGAAAACGCCCCCATGAGCCCAACGCAGGTGAAAACGATGATAATCGAGCTATTAACCCAATAAGCTAACGACTTTTTGGTCGGTTTATGAGTCATGTTGTACATGAGCATTGGCAGCACGAAATCGAGAGGGATGAAACCGACTGCACCCACAATAGCACTAATGTCTCCAAAGAAAGGAAGCATAGCCGCAACGGACCCACAGACTGTAACGTACAACGAACGAAGAATGATTCTCGGAATCAGGTTTCGTATGGAGAAGATGCCTCGGTTCACGCCGGCCGATTTCTTTTCTATGATCTCGTAAACTACTTGAGAGTAGACCTGATTAGAAGTTTTTCAGAGGAAAAAAGAGTTATAATTATGTTTTACTCTCATAATAATCGTGCGTGCAAATCGACATAGACTATTTGGTAAACATAGTTCATAGTTGATAAGTTAACTGACAGTTTATAAGTGAATTTTGAGCTTTGTTGAAAAGTTAACTGATATAATTAATAAAAGTGTGGTAAATTTAGCATATAAAATTTCCACTGACTTTTTTGAAAATCTACCTCAGAAATGTTATGAAATAAGTAACAGGTTTTTCGAAATTTTAACAACCAAACCAAGTTTATTTGAATACAGAAACCTTATAAGCTAACTAAATGATGTATAAGCCAGTTTATGGTGCTTACCAAACGGACTTAGAGACAATGTACAAGAGAAAATGATCTCACCAAGCCGATGGCGAAAAGCTGAAGGAGGATGAAAATGATGGCGAGGCCCAAAACCCACACGGGAGCCAAGGGAGGCCCCTCGTCCGACATCAAGTTTTTGAGAATGTTGGAGTTAGATTTGTTACCAAACACCCAATAGCCGGAAACTGCAACGGAGTAGAAGGTCACAAAAATTACAGTGTAGCACATAATTAGGCCTTTCACCATTTTTCCAGTGGCCGGAGGAGCCAACGTTGCCTGTAATGGTTGACGAGTAGTTAAATAAATATCGACCTCATGATTTATCATTCGTATACGATAGTATTCGACTTTAACTGTATTTCGGGTAGGATACCGTTGCCGAAAATGGCAGCCAAAATGGATATAGAATTGAACGCAGTGAAAAGCCTAGATGATTCAGATACTTCTAAAGAGTAGTCCCTTTGAGGCGCATTTGTTAAGGTACCTTTGAGTGTAAAGATCGTCCTCCGCAACACTCAAATCACAATCACGCTATAATCGTATATTCTTGTACACAATCATATTGCAAACGCGGTAATTTTTATTTATTTATTTACCGGCGCTAATGCACGCGACCACCACAAGAAAAGTGTAGCCCATGCTCAATAAAAGCGAGCCGAGGTTAATGTGCCTCAACGAATGGAAGCTCGGAAATTGCGACATAAGCATCATAAGTACCGTCACCACCATTATGAAGTGGTACAGTTTCAAAGACGATTCCGGATAAATTCCCATGTACATGATCTAACGCCCCATTAANAAAAAGAACCACGAGAGAAACAAAATTAGATTTCAGAATACACATAGAACTTCCTTTTGTTAGTGTCTAGCATCATTTGTTTGAAGCACAACGTGTTGTTAAATAAAATGAGTCTGAGTCGGCTCGACTCGTTAACGCTCGAGCTTGAGCCCTTAACGAACCGAGCTCGACTCGATTGATTAACGAGCCGAGTTCGACTCGGCTCGATAAGACTCGAAAAAAGAATTTCTATATAATTTTCTATTGTTTGGTTCGTTAAGGCTCGAACTCGACTCGTTAACAGTGATAAACGATCAGAGCTTGAGCTCAGCTCATTACAGGCATAGGATATAAACATGAATATTTGCATCTCCTTTGAAAATTTTATCTTCAAGATGGGCATACTTGTTAGAACTTAGGTAAATGCAATCATGAAGAGGGGGAATTTGCAAATTTGAGAAAAAACAACTAGAGTTCTTTGTAATTAGTATAATAAAACCTGGAGGCATTCCCCTGCAAACAGAAGAACTCCTATGCAGATGCCAATATTGATTGCTGTCTGAATAAATATGACCAAATAGAACATCCACCCAGATCCTGTTAGAAATATATGCACAAAATAAAAAAATAAAAAAATACAAAAATTATTATTATTATACTACAATTTTTTTCCCTTGTTTTTTCATTTTTCAATTATCCTGTTCATAAGCATGCTATTTGACTTAGAAAAAGCAATTTATAATCCGGAGCAAACAGCGACCGCACTCTGGCCATTGTCTTAATTTCAAACTTAATCATGACTTCAGACAATGGCATTCATAATTTCAGCAAATAGTTGGTACATTACAAGCTACAACTTCACTTTTTGACATGAAATAACGTTAGAAAAAAGACGATCATTCGGCTCGAGACAAGATCGTGTAAGATCTCCTTTCAAAAGCCAAAGACGTTCGAAAACCTTTCGCAAAAGTAGCTTAAGGAAGAGTCCTCGTTAATCGAAACAATTTTATGTAGAACTTTTTCGGAAAAATCCGTCTAGTTGGAAGAGATGGAAAATAAAAAATGAAGAACGAAATATTTTGGACATCAAACTAATTACAGTCAATTATAGGAAAATGCTACTGAACAATTTCTTTTTATAAAACTCCAGTAACAAACTGTCACGTCATATCAAAACTAAAGGTCTAATAGCGTATATTGAATTGAAGGAACCATTCCCTCAAGACTATATAGCCTTTTTCTCAATTATATACATAAGAATACAATAAAGTTNTAAAAAAAAAAAAAAAAAAAAAAAGTTGGAGAAAAATTCGTTAGGTACCTACCCAAGACATCGGCAGCGAGCTCCCGGAATCGTATGTGGCGGCGACCACCCTTCTCACGGTGGTCCAGCACCAACGACATGAGATAATATGAGTAGAAAGTCACGGCCCCTATGACCGTGAGGCAGAGGAACCCGGGCACCCAACCGAGCCCCCGAAAAGCGTAGGGCAGAGTGAGTATCGTGGGCCCCACGACAGCTGTCGTCAGGTGGAAACCAGCATGCCACCACTCCCCTGCCGGGCCCACATCCCGCCCGATCACCACCGTTAAAATTATTTTTTTCAAAAAAAAGAAAAAATTGCAGATAAACTGATTAATTATTGATTTAATTGTAGATGGATTTGAAATTTGTACCCTTGGACTGGAGAACGAAAGAAGCTCCTGCGTCGTCATTTTTTTCGAGGCAGATTTCTCCGGCGTCGGCTTGAGCAGAACCTCCCATTGGTTCGTTAAGTGGAAGGGCGGGAAAAAAAATTGAAGTATGAAGATTAGAGGTGTTTTGTGGTTGTATATAGTGTATTAGTGTGTGCTTGATTTAATAGCAGCAGTACGTGTTTTGAGATTAAGGTCCAAAATTGGAAATGATGACGGAATTGGTCAAAAGGGGAGAAATTTTAAATTGTAATGGTTGGTCCCATAAGATTAGTTGGTGGGAAAAATACAGTCACTTTCTAACAAATGTTGAATCAATTTTTGTATGAGAAAAGATCAAAATATTCTCTCCATACTTTTTTTACTCAAATTATTTCTAGAGTTCTAGAAATAATGTAGGATACTGATAATTGTTATTAGGATCGATCCTTCACATATATATTTATTTAAAAAAATACACAGTATGCTGTGAACTTTCATACTTCTAGTTATATATTGCTTTTTGGAGTATACGATAATTTATAATTAGGTGAAAAATTGTCGTTCTTATTTTATTTTTCTGAAAAAAAGAATATAGGTTCTTTTGAACTACTTTTTGAATGGTACAATTGATTCACGCGTTCCCTAAAAAATAAATAATAATAATAATATAGATTCTTTTGAACCACTTTTTGAATGGATTCCCTTTCATGTTAGTTCATAGTTTGTCAACAGACTCAACACCAATGAGCTAAACAAATGAATTTTCCAAGTGAAAAAAGTAGTGTATGGAACTATTTGACTTTATTCAGATCAAATTGTTCATCATTTAGTTAATTTGACTGACTACAATTCTAAAATTGTTACAGTTTTAAGAATAATGTTATCATTTTGTTCATTTCGGTTAAGACCAAAAAGATTTGAATTTGGTAATTCAAGTTTTTGGGCAATCTAATGAAATAACCGAAGGCAACAATGTCTTTTATGGCCTTATTTTCCACATCTAGCAATTATTTCAATAGGCTCGACAATGTATTCCGTGTGATACACGCGATAATAATAAGCAATCGTACAATATTTTTTTCTTATTTTTATGATATATAATAATTCAATATGTGAGTTATATATGTTATTCATCTGCTAACATACTCAAATATTATCAATAAATAATACTTATAAAAATATTTTTTTTCTTTATCCCCCTCTTCTATTGCTCATACCCTATTACAATATATTTAGATTTCTAAAAAAAATATAAAATTGCGGCAAATATTATAAATAGACTCTTAATTTAAAAAGAATATAGTCTATATTATTTTAAAATTATAAATGTACTAATTTTTAGTTATACATTGGTTATTTTTTTATAATTTATAATAACGTATATTATAAATATTTTATTTTTTTCGTCTAATCTAATATAAGCCACTTTTTGTCATCATAATTTAAATAATATATATAATAAATATTTTTCTTTTTATTCTTAAGTTAATAATTTACATTAATTGATAGTTCGACCTTGCTAGTTTGTCATCATAATTTAAATAATATATTTTTATATTTTAATTTTTTATAATCTTATAATTTACATGGCAGTTCACACATAATTTGTGGTTTATCATAATTTCTAACAATACATATTATAAATATTTTGATTCTCCATAGCATGACAATTTAAATGGAAGTTGGATAAATGGCTCACTGGTTTATCATTTTATTGACGTATAGACTAATCCTCGAATTAACTATTTACATATATTTTTATACTTTTTTAACATTATTTTTTAAAATTCATGTGGCATAAACATATCAATTACTATTTTACATTATTTAATATGAAATACTTTTTACTAGTTTGGCGAACCCAATACTCCTTCACGATCAGAAACATGGAGTACATTATCTTCTAATTCCTATTCAAATATGAGGAGGACAAAAACAAGATCCTAGCAAGGAAAACATCGACGTTTGACAAACATTAACTTCTTCTAAAAGAGTGGAATCAAGATAACATAGAGTTCTCGGAAGAAGGTCATAAGGTTGAGCTTTGGGTCCAACTCCGCAATCTCCCGGTACATTGGATATCTATTGAAATGGAGTTGATGACGTGTAAAATATTCGGCCAAGCAACAAATGTCTTTTGTTTGATGAGAATATAATTTTGGGTTGTGTTATTAGGGCCTAAGTTTTTTTTTTATTTGTTGGGCTGATAATTTATTTTTCCAACTTAGTTTTGAATGGTTTTGATCCCTCTACTTTTAGGCAACATCACTAAGGGGATGGTTGGATATAATTTTTTTTGTTTTGTTTTGTTTGGTTTGGTTAATTTTGAAAAAGGTGTATGATTAGTTGTTAGTAGATATATTAAAATAATTTATAAAATAAAATAACTAAACTTGATTTGATATAAATGTAGGAAAGAGATGATTTGAAGTGATGATTAGTTAAAATTATAAGAGTCAATGAATAGTGAATTGGAGTTAATGTTGTGTGTAAAAATGTCTGATTTATATTGTTTAATTATATTGGTAATATTGATGATAATGGGACTGAGTTAAAAAAAATCATGGTTGTGTTAAAAATGTTGATATTTTTTTTTTTAAATAAAATTGTATTCAGGCATCCTCTAACTCTCTCATGTGTAGTTTTGGGATAATTTTTTTTAATGTTTAGTATTTCCTATGTGTTGCTAGGTGTTTCTTTTATGTCTGGCAAAAAATCACAACGGCCTCAAACGTGAATGACTTTAGATATGTGAAATTACTTTTCCCTTTTCATACCTAAATTCCTATTCATTTATTTTCTTCCATCCGCTTCTTCTCACCTCATGTCAATTGGTGTATCATAATTACTTAATTGCAAGTGCGTTATCCATTCAGAAAAAGGCAAATGTATTGGGGACCAATAAAAAAAAAGGCAAATGTATCGGTTTTAGAAGGAAATTATAATAAGTCATTGTTTCTCAATGATGCGATGTTATTATAACATTTTAATACACTCGGACATATATCTCTATCTATTACAAAATAGGTGGGAGTAGACGTGGCCAATTGCCCGGTCAGCAGGCCTCAATTTCATGGCCCGTGACCAGCCCGCCCATTTATATGGGCCAGTTCTATGAACTGACCCTGAATCGCCGGTTCACCGACTTGGCGGGTTTCGGGCAGTTACAGCCCATTGAAAAAAAAGTAACAACACTGCGGCCTGCCTTCCAACTCGCGGCCCAAACCGGCGGAATAAAAATAAATTAAGAATCGGGACTGAACCGCGACCTTAAGGGTGAAGGGTCCGGTTCAACGAACTGGCCCTTAGAAGGGCAGTTCAGGGCCGGTCCGGTACCGATTTCGAGCCGGGTCGGCCCTTGGCCTTCGCTAGGTGAGAGCCCGTACATGCTGAAAATTGAGATAATTGGCAGCCCTTTGTGCTCAAGCTAATTACACAAACAAAACAAATAGGTTGTAAACTACTTAACAAGTGTGACAGATTTTACAACAAAATGGTAATCACATAAATAGTGTTTGACCAATGCTCTTTGATTTTTAAAACTAAAAGTTGTGTTTTAACCGTCCTTCAAGTGGTCAATTTTTTGCCGTATAAATTGTTTATTTTATCAATGTTTTTAGGTGCGTTTATGAGTATAAATTATTTTTCGATAGTCTTTTGATGTAATTTTAGATCTATCTATATAAAAATTGGAAATATGGTCTTCAGACTTCAAATATAAGTATTTTGGTTTTATGGGCCAATTGTACATTGCGAGAAATTCTTAATATTGTAATTACAATTTTAAGGTAACAATTTATGTAAATTTAGCAAGGTGCTCCAATTATATAGAAAGAAATTTGATAAACAAGCACCCCTAAGTAGTTTTGTCAGGGTTAGGTGGATAATTTCATTCATTATTTGACCCAATTCCCGCTATTAGAACCGGCTAGGGTTTTGTGCAAGTCCAAATTATCCACAGGCGGCTTAAGCAATGGGCTCCGACGGGAAGAAAAAGCAGAAGAAGATGAAGAAAAACAGGAAGAGTGGCGAAGCTAAAGCGATAAGCGATGAACGATTCGCGTCTGCTGTGTCGGATCCTCGCTTCATGGAAGCTCCAAAGCGGCGGAGCAAAGTGGAGCTGGATTCTCGGTTCAGCCGCGTATTAACCGACGCCAGATTCGCCCCTTCAAATGCTCCCGTTGACAAGCGTGGAAAACGGAGGAAGAGCAAAGGCGAAGCATCTCTGAGTCATTATTATAGTCTTCAGCCACAGGAAGAAGATGAGAACCAAGCGTCGCCTCAAAAAATTGATGATGAAGAAAATGAAGATAGTGACAAGAGCCAAGAGACTGAAAATGAGAGTGAGAAGTCGGAGGATGGAGAGAGCTTTAATGAATCATCTTCCGCCAGCAGCACCACGGATTCAGATTCGGATGACCTATTTATGGACGAAGAGGAGGAGGAGGAGGATACATTTATGCCTCAGGTCACAATTTGTGTCTCAATCCCGATTGATGAGCTGAGTTCACGTTTTTATTCACTTTTTTCCTTTCTGTGCAGGAGGAAAATGTGCCAGAAATTGATCAAGAAACAAAAAGGCTAGCTGTTGTTAGTATGGACTGGAGTCAAGTTAGGGTGAGCGTCTTCGGCTTCTGAAATTCTCTCTAGGATCATTGTATTGTACATGTTGCTTCTTACTAATGTCCATGCTCTTTCTATGTTGAGGTTCTTCTCCTTTCATAAACCTTCAATCCTATCCCTTAATTAATTTCGATCATTAGCATCACGACTGAATCATTAAAAGTTCATGGTGGTATATCAATTGTTTTTAATAGTGTTTCTTTGAATATTGGATAGACATTGCAATTAGAAGAGGCTTCATGGAATTCTCATTAGAACAATGGATATCACAAATAAAGGTAAAGCTGAGCAATGGAATGATTATGATACCCAGAAACGGTTTAAAGAGTCGTCAAAGAAACTGTAATGGTAATTGTTTTACTTTGAAAGTTGCCAACTTTTATCAGAGTTCTGCTGTGCAATGCTGGGTAATCTGTGGGATTTTACAAGTACGACATGCTTATGATTAAAAGCAATAATAGCATGTATGTTCGGAAGCACTAATCGAGGTGCACCAAAACTGATGTAGTTAGTAGGCTATATTTTACTTTGGTGCTCATGTGATCCATAAATTTAATTATTTACATGTTTAAATAATTTTCCTAAATTTTTTAGTATTTCAAATATCGGACTTTGTGGAACACATGCATCTGTGTTAAAAGAGGGCCCTAAACAACCTTTCCCTAAAATTAATATTGAGGTTTGAGTTATTTGCTTAGCCCCACTCTTGAATATTTGCTTAGTCCATATCTCTAATTATTTATTTTGTCGAAGTGTTGCTGTTGTTCGTCTCACGAGGAGATTTTTTTTTTTTATTATTATGCAGGCTGTCGACTTGTATGTCTTGCTAAGTTCCTTTCTTCCTAAAGGGGGTCAAATTCTGTCTGTAGCTGTCTATCCATCTGAGTTTGGAATTAAGCGCATGGAAGAGGAAGCAGTTCGTGGTCCTATTGGATTATTTGAAGATGATGAAGAGGAAAATGATGATATCGAGGATGACAAGATGAATAACAAAAAACTTCGTGCTTATGAATTAAGCAGGCTAAGGTATCAATTACTCTAACTATGCTGGATTTATGCTATTGAATTTTTCTTGATATGTAATGCACAGTTTATTGTTGTTTTGGGAAATAGCTTGGCAATCTGCTTTACTTGTACACTTGGAATGGTTTCGTAAGTACCTGTTACACGGCTCAGCATTTATAGATATGTTTGCACAAATGCTGAAATGTTGGCTACCATAGGAAACAGATTAGCAGTTTCTTGATTTTGGTAATTACAACTGTTACTGTAGTGTGTATATAGATGCAAGTACTTCCTTAGCATATGCATTTAGTGATACTGCTGAAGTCATTTGATTGTCTCTATTGACTGCCAGAACGAGTTAGAAATAAAGCAATTTTTTACTTGCTGGAGTATATAAGAAAGAAAATCTTGCTATTAACTCATTATTTCATTGACAATGAGAAAATATAACTAAGTTTTACACTTTAGCATTCTTTCTTCGTGATGCCTTGAGTTCAAAATCATTGAATTGGAATGTTTAGATTTAAATTACCAACATGAAGAATATTTTGAGTTGTTTCTATAAGGGTGCCTCCTTTTAAGCCTTTTATCTCTCTCCCTCACTCTCATTGCTATACAATATATATTACCATTGTTGCTTTAGGTACTATTACGCTGTGGTGGAATGTGATTCAAGTGCCACAGCTGACTATCTTTACAAAAGTTGCGACGGAGTTGAATTTGAAAGATCAGCGAATAAGTTGGATTTGAGGTTTATTCCCGACTCTATGGAATTTAAACATCAGCCACGTGATGTTGCAACTGAGGTAAGTAGTGTCGCTATGTCAGTACATGAGACATGTAATGTCGGTATAGTAATATTTGCTATTAAATTAGTTTCCTAAGAAGTTTTGTGAGCTTGGGTATCTTTGTTTGTTTAGATTTTCTCTCTCAGGTACAATTCCAGGTTACTCCAATAACACCCTGGTCATGTCAAAGAAAAAAGTGCGTGAAATAAATCGGAAAAATGGCTGTTCATAAAGTTGAAATCTATTTCTTTGCTTTTCTTAGGCACCAGCCAATTACGAGGGTACAAATTTTCAAACCAGTGCATTGCAACAGAGCAACATTAGTCTAACATGGGATGAAGATGAACCTCAACGAGCACAGATCTTGAAGAGAAAGCTCAGTGATAAGCAGGTTAGTGTTCTGAGTATTGCTACCTTATTGTTGCATGTGCTCATTTTAACTGTGGCAGATAATCCTTTTTCAGATATGTATTGATCTTGATTTTCACCCGATTCTTTTCCATGTCTTCAGCTTGAGGAGTTGGAACTAAAAGAATTTTTAGCTTCTGATGAGAGTGAAAGTGAAGCTGATGATGAAGATAACGATGAAGGTGTGGAGGATGAATCTGTGAAAAAATCCAGTAAACGAGATAAGTACCGCGCACTTATTCAGTCAGGTGATGATGGTTCAGATGTAGATCGTGAAGAGGATGGTGATCTGGACATGGAGGTTACTTTTAATTCTGGTTTAGAAGATCTAAGCAAACGCATCTTGGAAAAGAAGGACAGGAAATCGGAAACTGTTTGGGAGGCAGTTCTCAGAAAGAGAAAAGATAAAAAGAAGAAATCGAAAAAGGGATCCAAGTATTCATCGGACGATAGCGATGATGAAAGTGATGATGATAGAGAGCTTTCAAAACAGCAAGATGACTTTTTTGTTGAGGAGCCTTCAGATGCAAGAAATGAAAATCATTCAGTTGGCAAAACCAAAAAGAGAAAGATGAATCAGGAGAATAGACTAGAAGCCGAAGCCAGCCAAGCGGAGCTCGAGTTGTTAGCTGCTGATGACGTTGGAACAGAGACCAACTTAAGGGGCTACAATATAAAACCTAAAAAGATCAAAGGGAAGAAAGGGAAGGCAAATCTGGACGAGGGGAAGATACCATCTGCCGACTATGATGATCCGCGTTTTGCTTCCTTTTTCACATCACCACTTTTTGCTCTCGATCCAACTGACCCCCAATTCAAGAGGTATATTCTCGAACAATTGTGTGTTTCGTTTAGTTATTAGTTTCCCAATTTTAGTTTCTTCTCTTATAACTGACCAAAACTAAAAACTAACTGGAGTACAAGATTCGATTCTTTTTTTCTATCAGTAAAATTTCAGTTTATTGGTTTGTATCTTCAGTTTGTTTTGTTAAATCGATCAGTTTTGCTTTTACTTTTAATAAATCCAATTTAATTGACCGACATTTTACTGCTACAGGAGTGCAGCTTATGCTCGGCAGATTACAGAGAAGCAGAAAAAGGGTGAAAAAGACAATGTTGTAGAACAAACGAATATATCCGAAATTCCAGGTTCTGTTCAGAGAGAATCTGGTGGGTTGCCTCAGTTGAAAGAAAAGAATGAGCTATCTTCATTGGTTAAATCGATCAAGATGAAGTCGAATCAAGTACATCCACCACATAAGGTCTCTAAGAAATACAAAAGCTTGACAGACAAGGTAAAGATAAAACAATAGACAGATTGTTCCTAAGTTCTCCGGAATTTTTTTTGCTTCGACTAGAGTGCTGCTGTTAAATTGTAATGACTTATTTCTAAGTTTATACTTTAGTATTTATTGCAATTGTTAAATGTAGGAGATTGGTGTTTTGAATTTTCACCTACGAGTGCGACTGGAAGCGGCCTGAAATACAGTTATTATTATTAGATATTATTATTGTTTAAGTGCGACTGGAAGAGGCCTGAAATACAATCATATATTGATATATATATGTGAATGTGTAAACTGCGACCATTTAATCTCTCTTGACAAGGTCAATGGATATGAACTTGGCAAAAGGACTTGTCAAAGAATTCTTTAATTTTTATGGTTTGTAATCTATCCAAACCTTTGACCCCTAAGCTAACCGTGTTGTCCAAGTCACCCCTTCTCGGCCAACATCTTCAGCTGTCATCTCAGACTACCGTCAATAGCCACATACACTCAGCCTCTCATGGGATAATAGTTTGACAGTAATGATATGGAGCCAATTGTTGGCTCCGTTCTGGAGCCAACAGCCAATGGGACAACTCCATGTGGGGCTGTCCCACATGTCTCCAATGTGGGACAGCCCCACATAGAGCTATCTCATTGGCTGTTGGCTGTTGGGACAACTCCATGTGGGGTTGTCCCACATGTCTCCAATGTGGGACAGCCCCACATGGAGCTATCTCATTGGCTGTTGGCTCCTTAGCATTATTGAATAGTTTGATACTATTGAGGTCCCGGGTTGAATGATATAAAATGTGCTTGAATTATGGTTTTAGCCTTGTCATGTCAATTTTTTATTTTGTTTATAACATATAGGTTGGAATAGGTTGTAAAATAATATCTTTTGAGATTATTATTCAAAAAAAAAAAAAGATTGGAGATATTTTCTATCTATGATACTTGTTATTATCACCGTGCATCATAGAGGTGGATAATATGTACACTAAGAAATTTCATGCAAAGCAATTTGCTCAGCAAATTCATACAAGTTATACAGAAAACAAAATAGTAAGTTAACTAAGAAATTTCATGCGAAGCAATTTGCTCAGCAAATTCGAAAATGTTATACAGAAAAGAAAAATAATAAGTTAATAAGGGTGTGATTGGATACAAATATATCCGCTAAAAAATGATTTTTTTTTTGTTAATCTAGTTTAATCTGAAAAATATTAAGTTTGATTTTGAGATTATATTAAAATAATATTTAAAATAAAATAATTAAAGACTTAAAATTAATTTGATATAAAAATATGAGAGTTTTGATGTAAAAATATGGAAGAATGATTGATTGATATTATTTAATTATATTGATACTATTGAGTATGGATTGAGTTTTTTTATAAACTGACATCCCCTAAAAATTAAGAAAAAAATATTTTAAAAAAAAAAACAAATAAACAGGTGTCAAANTATTCTTTTTATGAATAACTAATACAAATTAATTTACTCATTTACATGTTAAATCCGTAGAAAGTTGTACTCTGTTGTAACTAGTATTGGTATAAGATTCCAACTCACCTCCGACCGGAAATGTATGCACAATAAAATTAAAGCCAAGTCTTAAACAATTTTCAATTCTGGTTTCAATTTTGGATCAGCCTTGAGGATGTGGAATATGTGCAGATTAGGGTTCATCTTTTCACTTCTTTTGATATCAATTATTACCGTGTGCGATGTAGCTTTAGGATCTTCATCTCAGGGCTCTGAAGAAGCTTACGTCACGCTTCTCTACGGTGACGAATTTCTTCTTGGCGTTCGAGTATTGGGGAAGTCGATACGAGACACGGGCTCTGCGAAAGATATGGTTGCTTTGGTATCCGATGGAGTTTCTGATTATGCTAAAAAGCTGCTTCAGGTTCTTACTTGTCCATAATTTATGTTCATATCAAATAGAAAGTACAGTTGCCAAAAAAGTATAGTTGCCTAATTGTTGTGATGGTTTACCTAAACGGATGTAAAACCTCAAAGGTGATATTTGTAATTACAGAGATGACATCTTTTTAATTGTTTGATTTTTTTTTTTTTTTAATTTTTATTTTTTGAAATTTAATGAATCTCGAGGATAGTTTTGTTCGTGTATCTGTGTATCATGAAGGATTAGATTACTGTGTTTTAATACTGATTTAATTTAATTTTGTTCTTCACCTATATTTTGGGTAATCACACTCGCGTTACTACTGTCCTATAGTTGGATGGCTGGATTGTGCAGACAATATCTTTGCTAGAAAATCCTAATCAAGTACGCCCGAAGAGGTTTTGGGGTGTCTACACGAAGCTTAAAATATTTAATATGACAAACTACAAAAAAGGTAAATATTCTATGAACTTATCTTCCTGAGTAAAAAGTTCACTTTTTTTTCACTAATAATTAAATCAGTATTCTTATGGTGTATGAGCTTCTGTGCTGCTGACATTCCCTTGTTTCCTTTTTTTTTTTAATTGGATATATCAGACTTGTCTATAATCCGATCTTTGTTCTTCTAATTTTGGAAGTGGTGTACCTTGATGCTGATACAATTGTGGTGAAGAACATCGAAGATCTTTTCAAGTGTCAGAAGTTTTGTGCCAACTTAAAGCATTCGGAAAGGCTGAATTCTGGAGTCATGGTGGTTGAACCATCTGAACAAGTGTTCAAGGATATGGTGGCCAAAGTAAACACAATGTACTCTTATACCGGAGGTAATATTATATCTTTACACACTTAGTGCATCTTGTTTTTGTTTCTTGATACTTTTAAGTGGTGATCATGTGATTAGCCTGTATTTGATACCTTCTGATTTTCGGAAATTATGTTCTTTTCACATTATTGAGATGGGACATGTTATTGCTATTGATATTTATGATTCCCTGATTTGTGTCTACCATTTTTTTTATTTTTTTTTTTTTTTTTTNTGGTGTACTTTTCTTTTTTCATTAAATTTATAGAATGCATTAATTTTTACCTTTTTTTCTTTTTTATCTTTCTCATTCTTCTGCTGTTTTTAACAGGAGACCAAGGTTTTCTCAACTCATATTTTCCTGACTTTGCAAATGCTGCCATTTTTGATCCACATGCGGATCCGGAGGAACTGAAATCTAGACCCATCCCGAAAATGGAAAGACTGTCTACTTTATATAATGCAGATGTTGGTCTTTACATGCTTGCTAACAAGGTAAAATCCCTTTGCACGGACAAGAAACTGCTTTGTGTTTGAGTTCTACTTTTGTATGCTTGTCAACATATGACTTTAGGTTAATCCTTTCCTTGAATGCTCAGAAGGTGTGCTAACAAGTTGACATTTGCACTGACCAGAAACTGCCTTCTATGCTAGTCTGCTTTTTTATGCTTTGCCACCTCATTCATGAGGCCTTTCTTGTATTTGAGGACATGCTGTAAAAGTAGAATGCAAAAAAGAGTTGATCTAACTTTTGAATGCCATTTATGATTATAGTAAAAGTGGCTTCTCTAGGGGCTTGCTTGAGAAGGGATGCTTGGAGGCTATATCAGAATATATTCTGATTCCTCGCATTGTATTTTGTCCAATTACTTTCTTTATTGTTTTCTTCTGTCGGTATTCAGTATATGAAAATACTCGTGTGGGGTTATTGTTTAGACGTGTGCTTATATTGTTGTGGATGCATGTACGGGCATGGTTTTATTTCAATTGCAAAAGTTTTGCGATATGTTTCAAGTCTATCGTTCTGCGTACTTAAAATCCTTTGCTGGCGTTACTATGGATTTAAGAGTTTCAAAGTAGGTTCTTGAAAATTTCTTTTCCCAAGATACTGGCAGCCATTTTGACATTCACTTACAATTTTATATCTTTACTGGATTTTGGCAACTGAAGGAGTGTTGACTTTGTGGATTTGAGTCATTTGACTAATCTTATGTGGATGAGAAAAGCTTATGTTAGAAGAAGAAATTTTGTGTAATTAATCAAAACATGCAATGGACCAAGTTTCGTAGAATCACCAAGAAAAGAGCTTACGTCACATACTTATTCTTACATAATAATCACGGTTCTGTTCACATAGTATCTCTTTCAAATCCCTTCCATGTTTTTATACTTGTTTTTGTTCTCTTCCTTTCCTTCCTTCTCCAGCACTCAATATAAGATATAATTTTCCTTCCTTCTCCAGCACTCAATATAAGATATAATTTTCCTTTTTAACAGCAAGTAGACAAAATTTCCGGCCAAAAATGTTGCATAACTGGTGATTCGATTTTGTGAAATGCAACAATTGGTGAGATGTCATCCCATCCGCATTTTTCATAATATGTGGGTGGTGAAACCAGTATTTGAACGTGTCCAAGACATTTATCTGGTTCTAGAAATGGACAAAATTTTGATAAAATTAAGAGCTTATGACTGTAAGAGAATAGATAGCTTCTCTCTTGTAGCAGAATGCTTTAGTTGGAGAATGGCTTTTTAAGGACTTGCTACTATTTTTTTATATATATGTTTTAATCCAATGCCTTATTTCAGTGGATGGTTGAAGAAGATAAACTTCATGTTATTCATTACACACTTGGTCCACTTAAGCCTTGGGATTGGTGGACACATTGGCTTGTTAAACCTGTTGATGTCTGGCAGGTATATGATTTTTTTTTTATTTTTTTTTTTTACTATTATTATTTTTGAATTAGATACATTATAATTTGGTTTTTCTGCTTTCACTCGGACCACTATTTTTTTTGATGCTACAGAAAGCGAGGATGAATCTTAAAGAAACCCTTCCAGGAACTGGAGGGGGTCGAAATCCAAATGATGAACTGCTAGTTAAATTTCTTATTCTGCTTCCACTCGTGTTCCTGATTTTCTGTTATTACCGTTCATACTTGCAGGTTAGTAATTTTGAAATTTTCTCGTTCTCAAACATACGAGTTTTTTTTTTTCCTTTTTTTGTAGTGATACCTGACCTGTTACCCTTTACAACAGACGAGATCATTGGTTGATCATATTAGACATCTTTACTATAAATTGAGATTTGGCGGTGCCGTTAGTTACTCCGTTACTTCCTCTACCATCAGCTCTAACCAGCAGGTTTGCTTTGGCCTGCAACTTTGTTTTTTATTTATTCTGATTCAACAAACATGTTTATTTTCATTTTATCCTAATTCTGTTGCACATGCATTAGAATAAAGAAACAGGATACATACTGAATGGACAGGATCATAAATTATAAATAACACTGATAAAAAATTTCAAATTTCAGTAATGTACGTACAATAAGCTGTCTACTGAATCCTGTGTTTCATTTAAATACCAGAGGAGTGTTGGCTTATAGAAGTTAAATCCTGTTTTTCTACTTTTAACTGAAAAGCATATATCCATGGATATTTTCCTTACAAATTCTTCACTCTGGTGATTGCAAAACGCAGGTTCCAAATGCAGCACAGAGCAAAGTGCCTGCTTTTGTGGGCGCGATTTCCCCGTTTGTTTGTTTTATGGCTGCCTTAATTTCTCTTGCACTTTCATTTTCGCTTGTGCCTCGTCAAGTTATGCCATGGACTGGTTTGCTTCTTGTGTATGAATGGACATTCTCGATTTTCTTCCTATTGTTTGGAAGCTATCTGCATGTAATTCGTCAATGGGGAAAGCGTGTGGCCTATCATCAATCAGCATCTTTCTCCTCAAATACCGAGACTTTAGATTACGATTCTGGAAAAGGTGTAGTACTTGAGCAATTTTTTTTTTCTTTTTTTCCGCATCTTGGTTCTTGAAAATGGTTGGAATTATTAATGTTTTGTATTTTGTAGGTCATTTACGGCAAGTTTCTTCTTGTGATGTTGCCGCATGTTATTATGGGTTAGGATTGGCATCTCTTGCCTTGGCAGTTCCTCTGTTGCCTTGTCTTTTCGGAATCACTGCTCTATTTTTAAGGTATTATTATCTTTTCTCTTCTAAGGTATTATGTTTTATTTTTACCTTGTGACTTGTTTAACATTACCTGTTTTTGGGGGTTTGGAAAGGAACTAATCTGACCTGAGTTTAAATATTCAAGATGGTTTGTAGAGACAACTTTTCTAGTTTTTAAAAGATGTGGTAATTAAGAACCCCATTTTTATGATTTCTAAATTTTAAATCCAATTAGAGCATGTAAATACTCTATAGTCTATACAATTTATTTCCCCTCCATGAAGAATGCTTTACATTGACTATTTAGAATAGGAGAAGTTGACTTTTATTCTCTTTGTTCCAAAGCACACCTTCATTTATAAACACCACGAACACTCGATAAGAAGTAAAGAGCTAATGTCAATTAGTTATTTATTTCATTAAGCTTACCAATTTATAATGCTTTTGACATAGGGCTAACTTTTTTTTTTTTTCCAACGACATAAACTTCTCATTAAAAAACGCCAACTGGCAATGTACAAGGGCAAAGCCCGAATCCTGGGTAACTGAGAGGTTACAATAAGACCAATGCAACCTAGACGGAATCTTGCTCGCAACGCGAGAATACCAAACACAACAAACCAACGAACACTACTACAAAACGACTAACACAAAAAGAAAACCCTCCCAACAGGAGAATACTCGAGTGCGCTCCCAACAGGAGAATAGACATAGGGCTAACTTGAGTAGCACAAAATAAATAATTTGATTTAAGCACTTCAATACTAATAATATTTGCAATTGCTTTGCTTGAGCATTCCTTGTAATCAAATGTTTCATAATAATTTACTGAAACTTAAATTTTCGGTGTAATTCATGTGTGCTTGGCTCGTCAGATTAGGTTTGATGGTTGGTGTTGGCCTTATCTTGGCATCGTTTATGACTTATGCTTCGGAGCACCTTTCAATAAGAGCATTTCTGAAGGGTTACGAAGAAAGAGATTCTTACCGAACACGAAGTTTTTGTTATTTGTGCTAGTTGACATTGTTGTAGACTAATTTAAAGCAGCTTTCTTTGGGGTTTTT